GACGCCGGCGGTTTAGGGATTAGAGTTTAGGGTCTAGGGTTGAGAAGGGGAACTGTAACCGGGCTGCTGGGCAACGAGGCCTGCTGCAAAAAGGGTTGAGCAGGGTTTATGATTGAGGGTCGACAACAAGGTTTGTAGACACTGGTCCAGTAAGCAAGATCAAGGTTGAGGTGTAGTGCGGAAGCCTGAATAAGTACTGATATTATTCCTGAGGGCTCCGTATTCTAGGCATCGGAATATATAGGAATGCAAGGTATGGGCACCCTTGAGCCCTACTTTAACCGTTGAGGCCCTGTGATATGGTGTCTGGTTCCGTTTTATGAGGGCTTCGCATTTAGTGTGCAAGAGTGACCGCTTATGTTGTGAGACATTTTGTCGCTGATGTCGTTGTTGTCGGCGACGTTGTCGTTCTGTCATTAGGGAGTTTCCAGAAGCAAAGCCCGAACGAAAGCATCGTTATTAAAAGGAGCCTTGAAAACGGTACCGTCACGTTTGAGAAACCCCCGCACATCGACAAACGACTCGACGTTCAGCTTGCGAGGCTCTTGGACGCCTATGTCATAGACCCAAAAATCGCAACCTACCTGGACCCTACAAAACCGACCCGGAGAATGTAACCCTAAGAAGCTACATTCTTTACCTGTAGATTCCAGGCAACCCTGGAAAAACCTGTAGCCCAGACCTTAATGATAGAAACTGTGACCATGACGACCCACATGTTTATTCAGCATCTTTCAACCCACAGGCTGGGATTCTTGGTAAGGCAGAGGGTTAATTTCAGGGATTAGGGGTACGTCACCCATAATTAGAAGGAAGGTTTATTGTTGAACTGTATACCCCTATTGTGGTAGCTCACATCAAGTTCCCTAACCGCATCAAGATCCCAAGTCGTCCCGGTAGCTTCGGTTTCCAGGTGGTCAAAGCGACGAGGAATTGCACACCGAAGTGTAGCATGAGGGCGCGTAACGCACCCTCCGATGCACGTCCTCCAACCCATGGTTGCCGAAGTCTGTTTCTGTATAGTCCTCCTATGTCCGACCTAAGCTTCTTGGTGCTTCAACTCAAATTTCGTAGTTGGGCTCCGAAAGTTTCTCTAACCTTGTATTACCAGTGCTTGTTCGGTAAGTCGGTTTCGGCCTCTTGGAGACTTTGGAAGGTTCACAGAAACATCGGCATCTCATTAACTCGGTATTACCTGTGCTAGTTGGGTAATTGGGTAAGTCGGCTTGGGATGTTGGAGATTGTCAAGGGATCGCAGAATAATCGTCGAAGGTTCCAAGTGGCTCGAGAAGCCCCGGACAATGAGTTGCTAATCTCGGAAGCTGTAGACAGTCACCCTCGATTATTTCAGGTGGAAGCTCGAGTACATTTTTGATTAGAACAGCACCAGTGGCTGGAAGGCAAGCACCAAGTATATCCCTCACCTTTTCTCCCGATGCACATCCTTCCAATCTTCATCAACCATGGGATGGACTTCCGTTCTCGGCGTCATCCAAGTATATACCCGATTCGCAACTGCCCGAAGCCCTAAACCTTAAATGCGTGCCGAAACAAAGCCTTCAACTCAAAAGGGCTGCAAATGAAAAGGCCATGCCAGCCCATACCCCCAGAAAAAGCCCCCACCAGAGAACGACACCAAGCATGTGCAGCTGCTGCGGCCAGCGATGAATGCTAGCCACGGCTTTGCGTGTGAGATCTTCCTTAGCACCGGAAGAGGGTACACATATCCTTGACCGAAGAGTTCCCTACCTTAACCCTGAATAACCTACCTAGGTAAGGTTCCTGAATAGTGGTTTCCTTATAATATGTCCTTACAAGGGGTAGGCTATTCCGGCTTAAGGTAGGCTTAGCTGAAAGCTGATGTCGGTATCAAGCTTCACGCAGACATGTGTAAGATAGCAGGCGCACAGAAATTCGCGTGAGACGTGCAGATAGATGCACAGACACACAGGCACACAGAGAGACCGTCGGACACCTCGCAAGGTTTTCCAATGAACTGCATGTCACTGCTTTGCATTGCAATGCTTTACATTATGCTTACCACGCTAATTACATTACATACATTACATTACAATAAAACAGAAGCATTACACTAGACCGCGCTACTCTACTTTGCTTTGCATGACACTCGTGATTCATGCTCACTTGCTTTCTGACATTACGTGTAATTGCAAGCTTGAGCTTATGTGGGTGGTTGTCAAAACTATGGTCCCTTTTGGGGCACCCTAAATATTAGGTGCCGTATTCTAATAAGGACCCAAAAAAGGACCCTAATTCCTCCAAGGGGCCGCCTCATGGCCTGCAGGACTTGACTTACACTGCATTTGCATCTGTGTCGTTTGCATTCACTCAACACTGCGTGACATGTATACGAGAGAGAGAGAGAGAGAGAGAGAGAGAGAGAGAGAGAGAGAGAGAGAGAGAGAGAGCCAGCCAAACAAACAGGCGGACAGCCATACTGACAGACAGACATGCATAAATGCCTACATAGACTCATCAATCCACGCATATATGCATGCATACATGCACGCATCCATGCATACGTAACATGATGGCCGCAATAGGAAATCATTTTGCATTGCGTAGTAGGTAGCATGCCATTGCAGCAGCACGGCGACGGAACAGAACAGCACTATACGACCATGTACACCTCCACATTGACAAGCAGTGAACACATGTGGGCATGCACAAGCATTCATCCGGGCATGGGTTTGCGTTTGCATATGTGGTGCATGTGCTTTTCGTGCAAGTCTGCATCAAGAAAGTATGGAGATCCAAGGAAGCAGGCGCCAGGTACGTCATACGGGTGGTTGTCAATATGAGGGTCCCTTTTCGGGTCCTTATTACAATACGGCACGTAATGATTACGGTACCCAAAAAGGGACCATAATTTTGACAACCACCCAGGTATGTCATATACACTTGTTTTGTCCTCTCACTTGCTCATGGTAGGTGTACACACCCATGTGTGTGCATGTTTTCATGGACACAGACGAGGACTTCTCTGCAGGGGTCTTTTTGGCTATAGCCTACCCAGGGATTCCGGAACCTAGTATACTTGGGTTGTAAGCCCCAATAGATGCCTTCTAGTGGGGTATAGGACTTCAAGGACTGGATTCGTCCAAGGGTAAAAGGAGGGACCCTTAATAAGGACCCCTAAGTATATACCCTCAATATGTTATAGCTATTATATACCCATTATTCTTCCCGTTTGAATTCTAGAGAACTTTTTTTTGTGTGTGTGGGCCCTCTAGGACCTTCATTTCGGCACAAGTCCAATGGAGCCCGCGCAAGCCACAGCGAATAGTTCCCCGAGGACACCCAGGTCGTGGGAGGATCAAGGAACCCTGGTAACACGAAATAATTAGCAATACTATTTTGAGGATTTCTTATTCTAATTATAGTATAATGGGCCCCAAAACCCTATTCTAATTATTAAGGCCTCTATATTATCCCACACTACTACGGTTTTGGGTGGATTTAGGGTTAAGGCCGATTAATGGACCAACTTGCAGAATCCTCCCAAACGGTCTGGACACTGTGCAGAGACGTTTATCTTCTGCTGCTGTCCGTCGATGGCGAGCATCAGCATGGAACAAAAAGTAGTTCGATTGCATCTTAGACCCAGAGACTCCAATATCCCTTAATTAAGATGTAAGGAATATTCCTTAATTAGGGGATATTGGAGTCTCTGGGGGCCCTGAGCCGGGCAGCTTGCTTCTATGATGCTGGGGAGTCCCCTTCTGTCAGTCCCTCAGTGCTTTGGGATTCAGGAGTTTCCGAAAATTGGGGGTACCTTATTTTGGGGTCCTTATACGAAGGAGCCTACTAGTGAGGGTACTATATTCGCGTCCCCTAATTTCGGAAACTCCCATTTAGGGTGTGGGCGGTCAGGGACATCTGAGGCCAGAAGGCCGAGAAAATGGCACCCCGTGCTTGAAGGATCATGGGACTTAGTAACTAGGGTTCCTTAAAGGGCTCCTGAAAGGGATCTATAGGGTTCCTTAAAGGGATCTATAGGTTTTTATTTGACTTAGTAACTACTAACTATGCTTTTAACAACTTATATCCCCCATTATGGCACCCCCAGACCTGAAGCCAAGCTGTGAGCTGCTTGTAGTGCTCAAGCCAACCTTACCCCTTTGCGGCATCAGCACTGCGACGAGCTTGTCGGAGGCTCAGTGCATCAGGAGATCCTGGGGTTTCCCAGACACTCCGCGGCCCCGAACTTGAGGTAGATTTTGATTCTGAAGGATCACTTTATCTTCGTTCAGCAGCCTCCAATTATGTAGAACATGGATGAAGGATGCATATTGCCAGGTTCTTCAGCACAATTAAACCTAGAGGGCATGAGCCTTCTCTAAACCGCAAGCCCCGAACAATTTTCTGGTGTTTACGTTTATCTCCATGATACGGAAGAGACCAAAATGGGCTTCCAGCAACTTGAGCTCCAAGTTGGTTGCAAGAGGACACCGGCCCTCGCTTCCCTGGCCGGAGCGTGTCGTCCCAATCCTGGCAGCGACAGAGGGTGATGTAGGGGTCTGAAAAAATAGAATGCCCTTCCTTTCTGCTCCTGATAATGAATGTAATCACATACCTTCAAACTTCAAACCTCCTCTTCGAATTATTCACAATGAAGGGGCCTACATTATTTTCCAAGCTCGGGAGAGTCTTTCAGATACGGATCAAATGAAACCACTAGTCACTCTTCTCTTTGCGCAGACTGAATAAGTCTTGGGGTCCATACCTATTCATGCGCATATAATATGGAACCATAGTGACATAGTGCCACAAGGAACAGTGTTACAGCAACACAAGCTCCAAACCCGACGCCCTGGGTCGAGACAGTTCTTGAATGTGAAATCGCATTCTGAACAACGTTCCAGCGCCGTCAGTCATGCATACGCTGTACACTATCCTGAAGTAGGGTACGAGGAGTCGTCTTTTTCAACTGTGGGTTTCAAGAGCAGCGTGCAAACCTCTAAAGGGGAACTCTCCTCATGGCTCGCTGCATTCTGGTGGGCCTGGTGCTGTCGGTCCAGCTTCTTGCCGGCAACGCCATCGGCGCACCGCTGACAGAATGGCAAAACCAGGCTGTTCAGTGGTACACTTTTTCACTTTCAGGTTTCTGGGTTCCTATTATAAGATCAGAAGCCTTAAAAAGTATATACTTTTTTCCCAGTGGGTTACTGAACAGCCTAGAAAAGCAGGTCTTCAGTGAGGTGGAGAAGAGTGCAGCCCAGCAGTCGAAGGACGCAGAGCCAGAGCTTTTGGCCTTCCTCGATTCAAGAGACTTCCGTGGGAACCTTTCCTCCTGCTGCCCATCTGTAGCAACCCTTCCCGCCACAGAGCTATTGGAGAGACTCTCCAAGCAGTTTCAGGTGGGTGGTTATCAAAAATTATGGTCCCTTTTTGTTGAGTTACGGCACCTATCATTTAGGGCACCCAAAAAGGGACCTTAATTTTGACAACTACCGAGGTGGCCGAACTGGCCTCTGGTTTCCCTGCAGACCAAGATCCCAGCAAGATGTTTCCGGACTCTGCAGGAATCTTTGTCATGGCTGGGTAGCATTTTGACATGTTTATGGCCCTTATGGCTACTTAAAAACCCAGTGAGGAATGAACATGTAGATTTTTGATCCTATCCCAACCATGAACTAGGAATGTCCATCGGCTTTGGCATGAACGGCTCCTTCTTCTTGAATGACTGGCAAGCCATTTTGATGCACTCCACGGATCCAGACGAAGTATGGCATGGTCTTGAAGCCACATACTTGGCTTTTCACGTCAACTCCTCCAGAAAAGCCGTAACCATGGAGCAGTGGTTTGGCGGATGTTCCGGCAACAAGACTCAGCCGGTCGAGATGCTGCTATCAGCGTGCTATGAGCAGCCCTATTCCGCGGGCATGAGCATGATTGTGCGCTACGACTATGCGCCAGGTCATGTGAACTGTAGCATGTGGATGGCTGAGAACAGCTCTGAAGTCTCCGATGGCTGGAAGAGGCCATCTCATAATACTTGAATTAATTAAACACTTCACTACACTGTTGGGGACACCGCTATGACAATCGTATAGAAATGAAAGTTTAAGCTCTTCTTCGTACTATCCCTGCACTGTGGGCTTGCCCTAGCTAGGTGGGAGGCAAAAGAATTTTTCCTTTTGTTGGGACTGATCTCGGCAACTGAGATCTCTGGCGACCATCAGCGAACCGAAGAAAGTCGATTGTCCGCCGCAGGAGGCCGTGTTCAACATGCAGGTGGGTGTTGTGCAAATTTCGGTCTCAAAGCCTTAATGGGCCTCCTTTAATTTAGGGTTCAGGGTTTGGGGGTTTAGGGCTGTTGTCGAGCAGTTCAAAAAAAGGGTTTGTTGTCCAAACTAGGTTTCTTTTGGATTCCTAAACTAGAGGGTGTCTTCGTAGCAGTAGAAAGACCATGCTTTCGACAGTTAACCAGGTGTATGCGGCAGATGGCCACTGCCACACTTACGCCATGCAGAACAACTCGCAACAATTCGGGAGCCAAGATCATGCAGAGACCGATGTGTATGGCATGAAGCCATTTCAGACGCGTGGGGCACCATCAAACCTTATGGAAGCTGGCGAGCGTCCGGTCTATTCCATGGTCAACTTGAACTTGATTGACATGGGAAGTCCCATCTATGGTGACGTCTCTGCCGTTTTCGCGCAGAAGTACATCTTGAACAGCACCTTACTCAGCCAATTAGAGAACTTTTAACTTGTGTGTGTGTGTGTTCTTTCTTTGGTCCATGTTATGACGGTTGAGCTTTTTCGATTTGGTTGTTGAGAAAAAGAGAGGCACAGTGTTATCTCCAACCGACACTGGCTTGTATGAGATGGGCTGCCTCGACAAGTCGGTCGTCCCCGTGGGAGTCGCATACAACTGCAGTGCCCTAAAAGGCTTCCCAGGGTCAAGGTTTGGGGTTTAGGGTTGAGGCTTTAGGGTTTAGGGAAAGGGTTGAGGCTTTAAGGTTTATTTAGGGTTTAAGGTTTAGGGTTTAGGAGCCCCTGCGCCCTAGCTAAGCCCTAAACCACAAACCTAGAAGGCCCCTTATAACATCCTAAGCCCTACAAATCTAAAGCCCTAAGTCCCTCAACCCTTAAAACCGTCAAACCTTGAAGCCCGAGTGTGAGTGTTCAAAAAGCCCTAAAACCCCAGACCCCTAAGCCCCTAAACCCGAACACCCTAAACGCAGAAAGCCCTAAGAGGCTTCCAGCAGCTGGGTACACTCCAGCACAACAAGCACCTTTGCTGTGCTTAGAAATTGGTTCTGTATTTTTTGGTTCCTGCAATATCTAAGAAACAGCCTAAATTAGATGTTCCTGTTTCTATGAAACAGCTAAAAGTTGAGTTAATTGGTTCCTGTAATCCCGAAGAAGAGCTGATTTTTGCAATCCTGAGCCCTAAACCCCAAGTTCAGTATAGGCAGCTTTGGTTCCTATAACCCCTAAGCAAAAGCCGAACCCTAAGCCCTAAACTCCAAGTTCAGTAGAGGCACCTTTGGTTCCTATCCCTAAGAAACAGCTAAACTAAGATTTTTGGCAACCCTAAACCCTTAACCCTATTTTCGGTATAGGCCCCTAACCCTAAACCCTAAACCGGCACAAGTGAGAATCGACCACCCTTTCCTTTTCACACCGACTCCGCACCTAAGAACCTCGCCTGGCTGTGTCCGAGTTGCGAGAGCGTAAACCCTAAACCGTACCCTACCCTACGCCATCCTCCTACCCTCCCTAAACCCTAAACCCTAAACCCTAAACCCTAAACCCTAAACCCTAAACTGGAGCGAGCTGCGGGCGCTGCGATAGCAGCAGCGAGCGTGCCGAAGCGTCAGTGAGGCTGGCTCCGGAGCTGGCGCGACAGGCGCAGCGGAGGAGCCCCAGCACCGGCTCAGGTGCTGGCGCATTGCGACAGGCATGCTAGCCAATCAGAACAATATGACCCTAAACCTCCAACCTCGCAGCGCCCCATCCCTCTACTTGGAGCTGGGCCCTGCCCTGGCCTTGGCCCGGCCCTGACCCCACCCTGCCTGGCCCTGGCCCTGGCCCTGGCTTTGGCCCTGACTCTGGCTCTGGCCCTGGGTCTGGCCCGCGCTGGCCAGCTGTCTGGGCCTGGTTCTGGCCCTCTCCCCCTGCCCTGCCCTGCCCTGCCTTGCCCTGCCCTGCCCTCGGTTTTGGGCCCTCACGAGACCGAGCCACAAACCTTGATGTTGGCCAGACCTTGGTTTTGGGCCCGCCAGACCGAGCCACAAACCTTGATTATGGGCCCCCGCCAGACCAAGCCACAAACCTTGATTTTGGGCCCCCGCCAGACCAAGCCACAAACCTTGATTTTGGGCCCCGTACCAGACCAAGCCACAAACCTTGGAGAAAAACCCTAAACCCGACAAAGGTCATAGACTGGGTGGGCGGGTAGGGCGAGAGCGTTGAACCTAGGCGCACACCACAACACACGTCTCGCGTGGTGGTGTGCGCGGAGCATCGACACACCCTAAACCCTAAACCCTAAACCCTAAACCCTCCTACCCCTTAGGCACCTTTGGTTGGTGAACAAGGGCTTCTGGGGTCCCCTCGGTCTCCTCCACACGGCCTTCCAGAGGATGGAGGCCTCGTTGGGTGTTGGGTTTTGGAGGTTTAGGGTTCAGTGTGTAGGGGTTTCGGGGCTTAGGGGTTTAGGGTTGAGGATTTTGGGGGGGTTTGGATTTTGGGTTCACGGTTTAGCTGCAAAAAGTCAAAGGGTTCAGGGGTTAGGTTTTTTTAGCGTTTGGGTTCCTCATATCGTTCATTGGAGTTCCTGCTTGAAGTGCAGTACGGCAGGCATCAAAGAGCATACTGAAGTAAGGCCCCTTCATCAGCTAGTTGGCAAATCTTAGATTAAACCTGTTGGGATAAGAAGAAGCCTCCTCAGGACTAAAAGTTTGAATGTTGTCGTGCTTATGAACTCGACAACGAAGAGCCTCTACCAGCCCTTAAGCCTTGGCCCGAAACTCGAATTCCTCAAACCCTAAGCCCTAAATCCCTAAACCCTCTGCCTTGTGCCAGTGTGAGCGTCGAAACCCTACTTGAAGGATCGTGGGACTTAGTAACTAGGGTATAATTGAGGTAAGTATACTTATAACTACGTATAATCGCAATTAAGGTACTTTATAACCTAACTTACTAAGTCCCCTGATGCTCCAAGTAGACCCTAAATCCCTAAACCCTATAGATCCCTTTAAGGAACCCTACATAGATCCCTTTAGGGAGCCTGTTGAAGGTGTTCACCCTGGGTGGCCATACCCTGCAGCGAAGCTCACGCAGAATGTTTTCTATGGCTGGGCGCAGAGGCGACTCACGATCTCAATGAAGCAACAAGAGAACCGACAAACCAACAAACGACCTGTACAGCTTTACAAGTTGTTGGTTACAGTACACATGGCTCAAGAGGCTTACCTTTCGTAGCCTTCCCCTACGAGCCGAAGCATAACAGCGCACAAACACTTGCAGACTACAGGTACCTAGCAGCTATACAAGGGCCCTGAAAGCTAGCCACAACTGCAAACTACAAGTGCTGATCACTGACATGCTGGAGCGTTTTCAACACTCCTCCTTGGCTCGCTCGTCAGGGCGACGCCACAAGCTGCGTATTTACAGCATGTCATCTTCGCCTGACCTCGAACCTTCTGGCACCTCAGCGTGTTTAGAGACCTGTGCGGTGGCGGTCTCTGCAGACGCGGCACAAGTTGCGGGTGGTTAAGGGTGTATTACGCCTTAAACACCCAACAAGTCTGATCTAGAGGCTAGCTGAGTGATCAGTCCAGTTTGCCGTTTTGCATAAGTAATAAACAAAACTTTCTCGAGGATATCCAAGACTGTACATAGAAGTGCACGTAGGGTACAAATTAGGGTTTCGAGTGGCCTGGCTGGTTTACCCCCAGCACACAAGCGAGTGCTACAGGCCTTCTGCACACAGGTTCGGGACTACGAGTACCTATTAATTCGGGTCACCCAAACCAGTTAAGGTCTGACAGGGGACCGGCTTTCGCTGCTGCAAGGAGTTGGCTCATCACGACAGCTCCTCCTGGGCTTGTACCTCTGAATTAACACAGGGCCAAGTGCACATATGCTCTCTTTGGCTTGAGCGGCACTACCTGCTTTTCAAAACAGCGTGGCTGAAGCAAAAGGCTTCAACACACGGCCTACCCTTAGGGTGGCTGCACTCCCTCTAAACTGCACCATCATTTGAGCGCGGACCTCATGCATCAAACAACTGATTGGTTGGCAGCGCGGCAACTGCCTGACAAATGCCTTGAAGAACCTGGGGCGAAACAGTTGTTGAGTCTTGCGTTGGGGCACTTGGCAGTGCGAGTTGAAGCTGCGATGATGGCTGCTCCTCCTGGGTTGAAAGCTGGAGGGAATGATGAGAAGCTTGAGGACCTGAAGCGTGCGAAGCGTGCTGTGTTGCCTGCACGACCTGAAGCGCAGCCTGAAACACAGTCGCCAACGCTTGCAGTAAGTCTTGACGGCCTGGGATTGCTCCCGGCTGTAATCTCCTGCCAGTGCCAGCTGCAAACTGCAGCTTGTCCTGCTCCTCCTCATTCGAGCTACTCTGGTGTCCAGAGCTAGAGGACCGAGTACCGGCACCTAACAACCCTAACAACAAACCAGTTAAACCCTGAGGCTCAGCGGCAGGAGGAGGAGGAGGAGGAGGAGGAGTTGAGGAAGGGACAGGGGTCAGTGCATCCCCGGACGTTGTAGCAGTGCGCGAACCAAGCCCACTATCACCAAACCTACTAAAACTCACCTCCTCAGCACCCACCTGCTGCAACGCCGGCGCCTCATATCCACCAGCCTGCTGAGACTGAATCCTCCAGACTTCAGCCTCAGCACGACCGGTTTTCTCCTGTTCCTTTCGCAAGCGCTGCTTCAACCCTTCAAGCTGTGGCGCCACTTCTGCCTGAATCGCATCATGCGGAATAGATGAGGACTCGGTGTGGGGATGCCTGTCTGGAGACCCGTAGAGCAAGGGAGCCCTTTGCTCCATGGCAGCAAGCTGCTGCGCGTTGGCACCAGTGAACAACGGCATCGGCACTTGACACTCATCTTGCAGGACGCGGCCTCCTCTCTCGAGGGGCTGTAGTGGTCGCGACGGCCTTGGAGGAGAAGTCAGTGGACTGGGAGCCCACCCTTGCGGCAGTGGCTGTACGTTCGCCGCGCCACCAAACAGAGACTGCACTCTTCCTAGCAACTGACTAGCAAAAGCCTGAGCCCCAGTCTGCATGACCGCTGACGCCCCGTACGCCGTTGATCTGGGCGTTTCAAAGCCCTCAGCACTACTTCCAGGATTCGCTGCAGATGGGTTGTACCCTGAGACGCCTGCGGCAACATTGATCTGAGCGCTAGCCATTCCACTTTCGGTGGCCACACTGAAACCCTGAGTCACTGCAGTTGCATCTCCATGCACCCCACTCGCATCAGCGACCTCCGCGGTAGATACTGCTTCATACGTAACGCCAGCTGTACCCAAGCCTCCAACCTGGCCTAGTGTTCCATCGCCTCCTGTCCTACCGACTGCTGAAACTCTCGGTCGGCCGGCTGTTCCAACAGTTTCTTGTGGCAGCTGAGGGGATGGCACTGGACCAGCTGTGGAAGTCGATGGCCCCGACGACGCATCCATCATAGTTTGCTGGATTCCATCCCCAATAGGCTGCGCAAGCCCAGAGGGCGATGGCACTCCAACTCCGGCGGTTGTACCATTCACTGTAGTCTGCGGTGCATCCCCGCCTCCCCGCACACCAGGCAGAGAGGCCGGAGAAGCCACCGCTCCGGTTGCTTCTGGCCCAGGCGTTGGGCTCATCACCTGTTGAAGGTGTTCACCCTGGGTGGCCATACCCTGCAGCGAAGCTCACGCAGAATGTTTTCTATGGCTGGGCGCAGAGGCGACTCACGATCTCAACGAAGCAACAAGAGAACCGACAAACCAACAAACGACCTGTACAGCTTTACAAGTTGTTGGTTACAGTACACATGGCTCAAGAGGCTTACCTTTCGTAGCCTTCCCCTACGAGCCGAAGCATAACAGCGCACAAACACTTGCAGACTACAGGTACCTAGCAGCTATACAAGGGCCCTGAAAGCTAGCCACAACTGCAAACTACAAGTGCTGATCACTGACATGCTGGAGCGTTTTCAACAGAGCCCCTTAGTCCCCTGATCCTCCAAGTAAACCCTAAATCCCCACACGCCAAACCCAAAGAGGCTCCTTATGGTCATCACGCCCTGCATACCGGCTCCTTCCTGAACTACTTTGAAGGCGCTCTCCTTGGTCACTGGGTTCTGACAAAGGCGGGTTTAGGGCATTAGGGGTTTAGAGTTCAGAGGTTTCGGGTTTGGGGATGTGTGTTATTTGCTTTTTGTTTTCGGCCTATACTGCGAATGACTTAGGCTTGTAGTATATATATACATATATAATCTCAGAAGGAAAAACTTTTTCTCAGTGGGTTGCTGAGCAGCCCAGGTCAATTGCAGTACCCGGCGGCAATTCGCTTCCTCATCGGTGCTTTTCCAGCCCTTTTCGGCACCGACACTTCGCAGTAGAGTGGGTTTTGGGAACTGTGGGTTTTGGGGATTTAGGGTTTTGGGGCGTGGGTTTCACGGCTTAGGGTTAAGGGTATGGTTATAGGATTGACCTTTAACGTTTTACTTTTCGGGGTACTATGACTATAACTTCGGCAACATGAGATTACCCAAGCTTAGCCCTTGGATTGACTTTAGTCCCTCAAGAAACCGGACAAGGACATGGGAGTCAAGTTGCAAGCCTGGGCAAGGAGCCGTGGTTGGGTCTTGATTTGGGCACTTGGCCCGAATGACAAGGCTGTTCCCAGACACTTTGTCATAGTTGGGTAACATTTTACATTTTTCATGGGTACTTAAACCCAATAATTAATTAAGGCCCTAAACCCTAAACCTCAAACCCTAAAACCCTAAACCCTAAAACACTAAACAACAATGAACCAGGACAAACTTCCGACTTCAACTTTGCGCTAGTGGAAGGGAACCCAGGCTGTTCAGTGGTAGATTTTTTTCTTTGAGGTTTCTGGGTTCCTAATATATAACCAGAAGGCTAAAAAAGTATATACTTTTTCCCAGTGGGTTACTGAACAGCCCAGGAACACGTCTTTCCAAGTCAACAAGCGCATGATTGATCCCCTTGTCCTTTCGGAGACGACGGCGGCGGCAAGCTTGCCATTGGGCTCTGATGTAAGCGACAAGTTCAAGCAGATGTGGGCGGAGGTTGCCAACCTGCGGAACATAACGAACGTGACCAATGTGACTATGGCGCAGAAATGGAAAGACACTGCCACGCTTCTTCCGCAGCTTCCTGTTCGTCCTCTGATGGGTGGGGACTGCGAGGTGCAGCTGTTGAACGCAGAATGCGTTGGAATGACTTTGCAGGGAAGCTGCGTGTGCTATGCCAGCACGGAAGTCGTCAGCCTTGAAGAAATTGTTGTAGTGTGAGTTCCGGTGCATCGGTCAGACGTCTGATGTCGTCTCGGTGTACACAGCATTTGGAAGCCCGACAATGTGAAAGCTGAAGCTGTTGCAACCCTTCGAGACTGTAGTGAATGGTTGCATGAAAACTGAGCTATTTTGATACTGTGATACTCGCGGTCTTCCTGCGCGCAGTCCACCGGCACCTTCCGTGATCAGCTGCATGCGGGGATTTGCTTGTATGGGTTACAGTAGTCGACGGTCCTCTGGATAATGGTACGCATGCTGCTTTTGGCGACGGGTGCTGAATATGTCGTAGTTGCAGCAAGATGCGCCAAACTGATGTTGCCAAGGTATTTGGGTGGTTGTCAAAACTATGGTCCCTTTTGGGGTACCTATTATAATACGGCGCCTAATACTTATGGTACCCAACATAAGGGACCCTAGTTTTGACAACCACCCATGTGACTAGAGGTTTGGTTTAGCACTCACTTGCGGAAGTGACGTGCGGCGCATCTCGCCCTGTGGTGGCACAGGTAGACGGTGTTGGGGCTTGCTCGGAATATAGAAGCATGATACTATAGTCCTCACAGCTGACCTATTGGTGCGTGCATCCCGAAACCGTGGCCGGAGGCTGCTGGACGAGATGTAGACTAACAGAGGTTTAGGGTTGAGGGTGACTATAAGTAGACTTAACATAGAGTCAACCCCATGTAGTAGTACCATTGGATACACCACACATGCAACGAACCCTATCCTGGTCACCAACGTCCTGCATGAAAACTCAGCTCTTTGGCAGGACTCGGGATTCAATTTTCTGCCGAACTCGGCACTCGACCGCGTCACTCAAGCAGGTAGAAAAGGCCAAAACAAATAAACCCACAACGACCCTGCGAACAGCCTATCAACCTCCCAGCCCCCGATAGCCCTAAACCCCTAAACCCCTAAACCCCCTAAACCCCCTAAACCCCCTAAACCCCCCTAAGCCCCCTAAACCCCCTAAACCCCCTAAACCCTAAACCCCCTAAACCCCCTAAACCCCCTAAACCCTAAACCCCCTAAACCCCCTAAACCCTAAACCCCCTAAACCCTTTTAAGGGTTTAGGTTCCCTTATAACCCCCTTTAAACCAAAAAGGGCACCCTTTTTCTTCCTAGGATACTCTTGGGTCTAGTAGCCCTAACCATTTCAGCCAAGAAGTCTGAAACCGTCAGCCTTGAATCTCCCAAGCACCAGCCCTCAGCCCCAAATGGGAGTTTTCGAAAAGTAGTAGGGTACCTTATTCTGGGGTCCTTATAATAAGGATCCGACTATTTAGGGCATTATATTATTAGGTCCCCCAAATTCTCGGAAACTCCCAAATCCCCAAGTCCTAAAGTCTTCTTGCCTTATAAAACTGGATCCCGAGGTCCCAAACCCGCCCAACCTCAGGTCTCCAAACCCACAAGCCGCCCTCGGGGTTTAGGCTTTAGGGTTTAGGGTTTAGGGTTTAGGGTTTAAGGTTTAGGGTTTAGGGTTTAGGGGCACTGTCACGAGCACAGTCCTAACTGGCGGAAGAGCGGCAGACTACCAGGCGTCCTTGCAAGCAAGCCTGCGGCAAAAAGGGTTTAGGTAAGCCCCCAACCCTGCAAATCGCCAGAAAGAGATCCTCCCTGAGCCCAAAATCCTAACTCTACACCCTGAGCCCAAAAGCGCGTAAAGGAACCCTGGTATGGGACCTTTGGCAATCTCCGGGCAAGCCCCGTAACACCGAGGCAAGGCTCGAATTTCATGCGCCGAGGGGGCTGCCTCAGCTTCCCCGGAGGCTCGATGATACCTTGCAGGGTTCCAAAAATTGGGTCCTGCAAGAGTTCCATCAAGACTTCAAGAGCTCCTATTCAGGGGTTTATGCAGGTGTTGGTCTAAGGTCTTTTACTGCAGTTTTTAATGTCGTTGGCAGCGCCCAAAGCTCCTTGTTTCAAGCGTAAAGGTTTCTTTTGAAAAGAGTATTGTAGGGTCTCATCACGGTTTGGGAATCACCGTTAGTAGCACTAGCTTCTCGCCCTGGTGTGGCTGACTATACTCCAATATACCACGGAACTAGAGCCCTACTCTTATCATTGGGGCCTGCATGTGCTCTAATGTAGGAGCTTGAATAATTAGAATACAGTTTGGGGGGTATATTGTACTATAAACAGAATAAGGAACCCTATTCAGGCCCCTACATTAGCAGTCCGGCGGCTCGCCTGTGTTATTTGGGAGGAGGTCGGCACGTGTCTTACACTTTCGTGCTTTCGGGGATGATCTTGTGCTACTTTTCCGAGAATAAAACAACCAGAAATTATGCAACACATTTCTTTCAATATGATACAAAGGGCGCTGACAAACAGAGCCTACTTTTCTTGCAAGGTTCTACAGGAACCCTGTTGTACGAAGGAGAAGGACCCACAGCTTGCCAGAAAGTGTGTTTTGGTGGTAGGTACGGGTTTAGGAAGAGGCGCATCCGCAGCCCTTGTCCAGTTATGACGGCCCCATGCTTTTCCTACTAGTCTGCGTCTGCATTGTCTGCAGGTCGGGGAAGCTCCCCTCTGTCTTATGTACTGTGCAGCCAGTGTTCCCCACCTCGTGTCTCAGGCTTTAAAGACCTACCTCCACCCCACCTTGAACCCCATAAGTCCAAAAGGGAGTTTCCGAAAACTAGGGGTACCCTGTTGTGGTCTTATAATACGGATCCTACTATCTAGGGCACTGTATTAGGGTCCCCCATTTTCGGAAACCCCCATATATATTCTAGAAAGTAACTGCTGTGGGGCTTTGAGGGATCGGAGCCCTGATCAGGGTTGGCGTCTTGGCCAGGCTCTGTGGGCTTTTGGACCGGTTGGGCGCTCTGTTGGAACTGGGATTTATGTTAGTGCAGCGCAAGGGGCCTGACTAAACCCTACGGCCTAAACCCTAAACCCTTAAGCCTAAACCCTAAACCCTAAACCCTTAAGCCTAGATATGCCTCGCCTGGATTGTCCGAGTGTGAGCGCCGAAACCCTAAGTTTTAAACTGACGAACATCTTCAGGATTCTTTGGTATCGCAGCTGCCTTTCTGGCTCTCTCCACCCGTGCAATTGCGGAGACCTGCGGCTCGGCTGAAAAATAAGGGATGTTTAGGTTCGGGTAGCTTTCACATAATATGTAAGTTTGGGGTTCCTATAATCCTTTAGACATAGCTGAAATCATAAGTTTTCCTAGGGGTCTAAGTTCAGTATAGAGGCTGTGTAGGGCTCTCAGGGCAGCCTTGCAGCTCTCTCCTTCCACCTGGGTTGCTACTATAGTCTCCTCATTTTTCATTTTTGTTCATGTAATTTATAAAGCCCAAGAGAATATTGAAAATACCAGTTTCATTATGGTTCTAAGAAGGGGCTATAGACTAGCCCTGTTCCGAGGGGGCGCGGTTCGCTGGAAATTGCCTAGTAGTAGAGTAGGTAACCTTTAACCATCTTGGGTAGTGTAGTCCCTATATAAACGGTTAACCTTCATTTTCCCATGATACCCGACAAGTGGGTTTGTGTACATCAGCAAAGAAGCAGGTGAGGGTCTAGGTGTGATTGTGATGAGTTCCTGATTGAAGCATAGGAAACTAATTCCTGGAGGTCTACGGCCCAAGACGGGGTATCGATTTGGGATAATGTTCTTAGTAGACGGCAAACCCCAAAGCATCCGAGTTCCTGCAAACCAGGTGAAGCTTCACCTGTGACTGCACAGAATCTACTCCAATGGTCTCTACGTGCTAGCGCGGAGCTGAACTCCACGCTGAATGCGACGGAGCTGCGTTGGGCTTTGGGGTGCCGTGTAAGTTCCTTGTCCTTCAAAGTCCACTGTCGTGTAGAAACATACTTAAACCAGCTTAAACCCGAAACATGTATACTAAACCTTAAACATCCATGATCCTTCAACTGCCCTAGCACCAGCATTATCTGAAACTATTCTTCTTGTATCCGCAACCAACTCTAATCCTCCAAACCCTGAGCCCTAACACCGATTTGTGTCTGCAGGCAGGGCTTTGTTGCTGCGAGGGGAGATTTTGGATTGAGCATTCCCTACGCCCCGAGAAGCAGTACAAGCCCAGAGCGATGGAGGATGATCCTGTAGCGAGGCACAAGGCATGCTTTCGTCAAAAGCGCTGCCACATCTCATGACGCATGGAGCCCGATAAGAACAGATTCAAAAGCCCATATGGAAGAAAGCAGAAAAACTAAGATTCTCACAAAGCCCCGTCGCAATCACAAAAACAGAACCATGGCTTCCATCGTTCAGGACAAGGCGGCCAACGAGGCTGGGCTGGGGTTGAGAGAACCAAGATTATGTTTAAAGCTTCTTCTAGACTTTACAGTAGGCATGAGGCATCAGGGTTTAACAGTTCTGGGTTCTGTTGAAGTCAAGAGCAAAAGTTGTTTGTCTTGAATCCTGTATTGCATTGCAGGGATGCACACAAGCTTCTAACAAGAATAGCGGCTCGTCCGCTTGAAACCCGAATTCTTGGCCCATCCTAGAACCTAGCCCGATGCCCTGGATCACAAATTTGCGCAAGCTGTTTCAGTGGAAACTGGAACCTGTGACTTCGGGGTTTTTGGAGCTGAACCATCCGGAAGATGGGCTGCTGTTTGGTCCGGAATGTGGCTGATATCTGTCAATAGTCGCATTCCCAACGCCTAAGGCTCCGATAATAAAGTTGTCGGCATCAAACCCGAAACATCCTACGTAAATGACCATCCAGCGAGCCGTTCGGGGAAGTTTAGGGTTTAGGCTCTCGAATTCGGGCTTTGTGTTCAGGTTTACAGTGTCGGATTCCCGCAGTTGGGTGCTTCCCCCCTGGCCTTGAGCCCCAACCCCAAAACAAGGAGCATCTCCATTCGAGGCCTTCGAATGGCAGAAAAAGATTGCCGGCCTGCAGCGCAGCAGAGGGCAGGACATGGACCTCAGCGATTCCGTCCTGACCTACTCTCCATACATACCAATTGAGCCCAGATACAATGCCTCAGCTCCTGAAAATACAGAAATGCACCCCCTCGCCCCTCCACGCAAGATCCAGGTCTTCCACCAGCACCAAAACCTTCACGAGAGCATCTGCTGCCAAGACTTACCACTGACCAGATCTAGCCTATTTTGGGGCAGTGCAACAGCAGGTCTTGAAAACTTGAACCTAAACCCTAAACCCCTAAACCCTAAACCCCTAAACCCTAAACCCCTAAACCCCTACACCCTAAACCCCTAGACCCTAACCCCATTGCAATTTCCCACGCCTTCATTGAACCCTAAGCCCTAAGCCTAAGTGAGGCCCTTGAAAGCCGAAAGGTAGACAGAGGAGCTTACATAGTTACCGATCTTATCTTGGGGGGGTTCCTTATTAGACTTATAGTATAATGGACCCCAAAACCCTAGTCTAGTCATTCCGTAAGGCCCCTATATTAGAGAGAGGGAGGCTCGCCACGATGCCGTCGTGTTACATGGCCCGCCCAGCGGGCAGAGGACCCGTCCATGACAGCCGCGGCTGTGGCAAGCCTGGTGACCAATCTCGTGGTGTGCTTTGCTTCTTGTCTGCTTTGGACAAGTCGGTGCTCCTAAACCACGGCCTTCTCTGTTCTTCAACTGAATTGTCGAACCCGGGAATAGTAGGTCAGGCCTGTCTTGCGATGTTGACAGCGAAGAATCAACGCGAGCATGACGTTGAAGACGCTTATCGCCACACTCGTTTAACGCTTAAGCCCACATCAGGATGTCATGATACTCCTTAATTAGTCAGATGTCCTTCATATCAAGAGTCATGCCATACACCCAAACATGCATGCCAACGCCCTTATGCTTGTTTCCCTGAATGGCATACTAATATCCGAGGTGTGTTTGGGCATTTTCAGCAATCTCCGACAGCGCTACCCCCTTGCCGCGCGGTCAGAAGAGGGCCGACGGGGCCAGAGCCAGGGAAAAAACGTTCTACGAGGTTTTGAGGAAGATCATTCCTTCCGTTGCAGAGGTCTGAACACATGGTCTGTGTGTTATTAGCTGGTATATGACATTGTTCAGGCACAGTGCTTACTCTTGATCGTACTCCTGAAGTTCTGGACTGCTCATCATGACAGCTGTAGGTACGTATATGTATTCGTGGCTTCAGAGACATGAGTAAAGCTAGTCTCCTTCGGAGATATTCTTTCAGCCATAGAATGACCAATGTGCGGGTTGGTCTATATTCCTTCTCTATAGGGAAGTCAAGACTAGATCTGCTTTTGAGAATCTGGATGTAGAGGCAAGGATCAAGGCAAAACTCGGCTTTTCAGTCAAACAGCAGCATCTGGGCACGGTGCATGATCCAGGCGTTGAGGCCTTTTGCCAAGTTTGGCAGGGTTGTCGGTTCTTAGGGCTTGGGGGTTGGAGGCGATGCTCTTCGGAGCGGAAATGAAAGATCTTCGTTCAGCTTCATGCAGCAGCGGTTTCAGCATCACAATAGTATTGTAAGGGTCTGAATAGCTATCCTTAGGGGTACTTAGAAATATGTTTAAACTTTTGGTTATTATAATTCTTAAGAAAACAGCTAAGATTCTGGTTTTTGCCAGGGTTCTAAGTTCAGTATAATATTGTAAGGGCCTGAATAGCTATCGGTGTTATTGTGCAGGCCTCACGGTCATAGCTATACTGGGTTGAACCCGACCCGATTCTAACTACTGAGGCCGCTAGAGCATCCCAACCCAAAGATGTATAGCATGACACTGCAAACGACGAGCTGCATTCACAAAGCCGCCGCAAGCAGTGGTATCCTTTTTTTAGGGGTTCAGGGCCTAGGGCCTAGGGGCTATTGAGTTCTTGTAGGACCTTGATTCAGAGAACACCCGGAGAAGGGGGCCAAGATCTTGGCCCACCCAAGGCCTTAAAGTCTAAACCCCCGCTGCGAAACGGTTCTCAAAGTTGAGAAACCTAAATGCCCTAAATGCTCTAGAACTTTGAAAGGTAGCCTTGAAACAAATTACGCTAAACCCTGAACCACGCAGGCTTTTGACATGAACGCATGGCTTTCGATGTGGAGCCGAGTTGATCTCCACTGCTGATCGAAGTTTCCCTCCAATGCGGGCTCTTCCTAGGTAGGAGGGAAAAAGCTACCCTATACCCATGACCCCAGACCCTAAACCCCCCGAAAACTTACCTTTGGTTAGTAGGGAATGGAGGAATGGGGTACAATTATAACTATTTCTACCATTCTTCCATTCCCTACTAACCAAAGGTAAGAAAACCTTTCCCCCGAACCTTAACCGCTGGAAGCTTGCAGGTCTATGCTGGCAATGTCATGGACGGGGTGCTCGCCGATCCAGGCCCGTCGAGTTTGTTTGAGAAGTTTTGGGGGTAGGGTTTACTTGGAAGATCAGGGGACTTAGTAAGTTAGGTTATAAGTACCTTATTTGGGCTTATACGTAATTATCAGTATGGTTGCCTTAAGTATAGCCCTAGTTACTAAGTCCCATGATCCTTCAAATAGGGTTTAGGACTGTTTTGGGCACGCAATCCAAGCCAATGCTGAGAAAGAACTGGGGTTTGGACTGCGTTGTGCCTCTTTGGATACTTGGAGGCTCGTGAGTTATAAATAGGGTAACTACAGTTATAGCCCATATTAGGGGACTTATAACACCACTTATAACTACCCATGAACCTCCAAGTAGGGTTTCGGGGTTGTTTTGCGGGTTCAGGGCGCTTTGAGGGGCTTCTTGGCTGGGTTTCGGGTTTGGGGCGTAGCACTGTTTTTGGCTGTGTGGGGTCGGCTGAGGGTTTAGGACCTGTCTTGGCATTGGGAACAGGTTCGGCCAATACGAGCTTTGGAAGCGCTGGGCTTGGGTTTCAGAGTTTAGGAATTGGTTCAGAGTTCTCTCGAGTACTACACAAACCTAAGTAACTATCCATACTATCGTTCAATTTTCTGCTACCGCCACCGACCAATGTGTCTGTGCGCGGACAGCTGTCGTGTCAGTGATGACTGGGACAATGCCCCCCAGATTATTTGTGTTTGGGGCTCACGTGTGCGCATCTCAGCAAAGAGTATGCATGACGCACTGTGCTAGTGGTACTTGATTAGTTTAACAAATGGAACTGTACCTTAGCACTTGACCCCTGTACCTTTACCTTTGCTACTTTACCTTGACAATTGGAAGAGAGTTACATACATTACATGTAAGTTTGCGTGTCAAAGCCAAGTTTTGATATTTTACATGTATGCACTGTTTGCACTCATGTTTACGCCTGTCGTGTAGCAGTAGCATCAGCATTGAGATTCATGTCAAATGAATAGCAGCAGCAGCAGCAGCAGTAGCAGTAGCATCACTAGCATCAAGACTAACATCAACATCAGCGTTGACATGCAGTTTGCATGTACATTTGCTTTGCATGCGCACTACTTCGTGCTACGTTGCAGAGAACCAGGGTTACATACATGTAAATATTCACCCGTTCTGGTTAACGAAAAAGCTGTTCAACCGCTAACTATAAAGACCAAGCCCTTTGCGACTTTGTTCAGCTGGGCGGGGGGCAAAAAAGACACGACCCCCCGCACCCGCAGCCTCGACGCCACTCCAACCCTACACAGACCCGCAGCCCAAATCCCGAAAACAACAAGCCTATACTCGAAACTCCAGACCCTAAGCCCTACACACCCCTAAACCCTAAGGGAAAAAGACCCGAAACCCTACGGACCCAATCCACAGGGTTTAGGGTTTAGGGTTTAGGGTTTAGGGTTAATCCTAAACCCGAAACCCTACACGCCCAATCCTAAGCACCGAAAAGCCCAGAGCCCAGAGGATCGGGAAAGCTCGCGTGGCTGCTCCCAGCCCTTCAGGCACATCCGGGGCCTCCGAACTCTTTCAAGAAATACGTATCTTAGTAGCTGAAGGAGTGCGCGCTCTACGCTTTTGGGGATAATATTACCCCCTATAGAACTGAAAGCTGAAGCGCTTTTTGTGCTTATGAACTTAGGAACTGAGAGGTAGAAGCCTGCAGAATTACTTTTCCTGTTCCTGAAGCCTCCTTATGACAGTTCTCGATCCTGCTCAAGTCCTAGCATTTTCCTTGGATTTAACGCCGTGAAGTTCCAAGTTTAGGGTTCGGGAGCCACGAAGCTATTGTTGCGAGAGGGTTCAGGGTTTTAGGGTTATGGTTCCGGCTTAGTGTTTGGGGTCTACAGTAGGGTTGACCCCAAGAGGCCCCAGGGCTGCAAAAGGGTAAACGCTCCCAGAGACCCCAATATATCCCTTAATTAAGGAATATTCCTTAAATTATAAAAGGATCCCTAATATGATTTAAGGAATATTCCTTAATTAAGGGATATGGAGTCTCTGGGCTTGTCGGCCCAAGCATTCGTTGTACAGCAGACGTGAGCATGAAGGGCCGGCGCTTCGGGATCGAAGGTGCTTCGTGCAGGGTGCTAGGCCCGGGTTTTCTGAAGCCTCCATATGTGTAGCTAGAGCTCCAAAGCCTAACCTCTATAGAGTCTATAGACCCTAAGCCCTAATCCGTAACAGTCCCCCCATACGTAAACCCAATGCCAGTGTTATGCAGAGCACATGGGTTTGAGGGCTTACGGTTTAGTATAGGGTTTAGGGTTTAGTAAGATAGTCGTCTGAACATGCTCCGCTCTCGCGCCTTCTCATGGCTGACCCAGCATGCCAAGCGTTCGGTCAGCGTCGCTGCGGCGCAGCTGAAGCGCCAGGAGAGGGAAACCTTAAAAGTGAGCCGTGATTTTGCGAGCCTGGATTCGTGAGTACCCCCGTTTTGACTTTGTTTTTTGCTGGTCACTGGTCAGTCCGGAGGGAAGCTTACCACTCACGGCATTTACTCGAGGAGGTGTCCCGCTGTTGCACCATCATAAGAATTGAATCTAATCTATGGTTGTTTGCGTATATACCCCCCGCCCCCCACATTGGCAGTTAGCCCTAAACCTGGAACCCTAAACCCAAGACCCTCAAGTCCACATCCAAGGAACCGCGACGACATGCGGCGGTGCCGACCGCCGGCGGCAGATGGAGATATTAGCCCGGAGGTCTGGCTTACCATGTGGAGCCTTAACAGCTAGGATAGGGTTCTTTGCAGTTTCTGGTGGGTTCCTTGTTATGAAAATATATATATATATATATAATCAACATAATACTCATAGTAATGACGATTAAAATAAGAATAAAATATGTGTATATATCTATATATATATATAGTATAGTACATTTCGGTTGGGTTTTTGGGCTTTTGGGCGTTAGGATTAGAAGGGGTTCAGGGAGGCTTTAGCGTGCAGGATTGGGCTCAGGTTCTAGAGGCTCCAGGGCCTGGTGCAGGATTTGGTTGTAGGGTTTAGGGTTTTCAGGGTGTTTAGGGTTTAGGGTTTTTAGGGTGTTTAGGGTTTTTTTTAGGGTTTTTAGGGTGTTTAGGGTTTTTTTATGGTTTTTAGGGTGTCTGGTTTGGGGGTCTTTACAGGGTTCTGACAGAGTTGTGGATTGTGCAGGGCTTATCTCGGTCTTTCCTAGGCTTTCATAAGTGAGACTCTTTGACGATATAGAGGCTTCCCACAAGATTTTGCTATCTGGGTATGGTATAAGAGAGCTTCTGAAAATGTTTACTGTAGGGTCTCTGTAGTCAAGTTTTCCATCGGAACTCTATTGGATTCTGTGATGAGGTTTTACGCTTCTTCATTTATTTAGAGTCCACTTGGAGGTTCACGGGTAGTAGGAAGTGAGGGAATAAGTCCCCTAATATGGGTTATAATTATAGTTACCCTACTTATAACCCTACTTAACTACCCATGAACCTCCAAGCAGGTCAAAGCAACCACGAGAAAGATCGGCCGCTTAGTGAAAGCAGGACCGGGGAGGACAAAATGCACATATGACAATGTCCCAAATGGTCCTAAGTACCCACATAGCACAGAACAGGGTCTTCATTAGGATTCTTTGTTATCGTCGGTGCTGCAGTATCATCCCCTCCCATGTGCTGTGCTTGGGATCCTTTGGGCAGAGACTGCGGAGTGTAGTTCCCCTTAAGGACAGTAGGAAGCAGGTCTGAACGCCCACATGATTTAGGGTTTAGGGGTTTAGGGTTGCACAGATGTTGCCCTTTAGGGTTTAGGGGTTTAGGGTTTAGGGTTTAGGGCAGGACAGTATGGAGATGCTTGGCCTCTCTTCCAAGCGATGGACCCAAAAGGTGTGGTCGAGTATAATGTTGGCTTGAACATCTGCGCACCTCGGTATCCCCCACCATGTTCTCCCCATGATGGTACCATTTTTGTTTGCCCTTTCTATTTTTGTTGGTGGGTTCCCTTGTCTGGAAACTGTACCCTGATTAAGCCCTGTACCCTTATAATACCCTAAGCTGAGCCTTGGGGGTTTGGTTGCGGGGTACAACTGCAGGCTCCCCTTTTCAAAGGGGAAAAAGGAGGGACCCTTAATGGGGACCCCTACCCTATTAGGCGCTATTTCATGGGTATATAATGGCTATATCAAGGGTATATTACCTAGGGGTCCTTATTAAGGGTCCCTCCCGTTCCCCTTGGACCTTTAGGACCCAGGACTTGCGTCTGATCGTGCGACAAAGCTTCTGGACTAATTCCCTGCGGTGCGAACTTGTTCAGCTGGGCGGGTGGGAAAAATACCCTAAACCCTGGTTATTAAGGGACACTAGGATTCAGGGCTCTTGGTGGGTTCAGGACCCCAATACCCAACCCGTATACTTCTAGGGTTCTTATACATCCTGGAACTATTCTGATAGTTTACTTTGTTGCTTCCTTGGCCTGTACTGTTTGGGGCCTAACGCACCAGTACCCTCAACCCCAAACACCGGAAACCCTAAACCCAGCAATCATGGCCATTGCAACCTCAGATGCCTGCAACCGGAAAAGGATCGTGAAAACAACACGGCCCTAAACCTAAACCCTAAGCCCTGAGCCCCAAAACCGCAAGGCAAAAGCCGGCTGGCTAAATGAGGCTGAAGCACTTTGGGAAGAAATGAGCCAAGACGTCAAGAATGTCGTGACCTACTCGACCATGATAAAGGCTTGAGCTTCTAGTATAGGGGCGTAAGTGGCCTTGAAAAGCGTTTGGGGGATAGTGCTGCGCCAATATATATATATATATATATATATATATATATATATGGGCTTCTGTAAATAGAAAGAGCTTTGGGGGATGTATCGTAGTTTATCTATGTAGGGACTGTAGGGGGCATTAGATGAAGGTGTACGGCAGCATCAAGAGAGTTGACGATGCCGAGAAGCTCTTTGAGGAAATGAAGTCTAAGGCAGTGACGCCAAACATCATCACCTACAACACCTTGATCCAGGCTTACGGGATGACTTCAGTGGCGGATAAAGCGCGGAGCACTTTCGACAGTATTCCCGAAGCAGTCTTGGAAGAGGCCGGCTCTTCCAACAAGGAGGCCAGCTATGCAACGCTGATGTTCGCTTACGCAAGACACTTAGTTCTCCACTACCAAACTTTTTCATCTTGTGGGTCCATATGATTTGCAACTCTCTGTGTTTCTGAAAGTTTAAGCTCTTTGTTCCTTGTCCACGGCGGGCTCAAGGACGAGGAGACTATGCTTCGACGCGTGAGCTCTTCATGGACATGACATCCAAAGGAATCCCACCAAGCCGAAGTCATTTCAATGCCATGATCATCTCTTGTGCGAAAGATGGGCTGGCTGAAACCGCGAGAGCTGTCTTCGAAATGCTACCTCATTATGACATACTTCCCGAGTTCGACACATGGACGTCGCTTATGTCTTGCCACCGAAAGGATTTGGAGCAGTGCAAGAGGATCCTTGATGAGATGCTGCAAGCGGGCGTTAGTCCATCTCTTAGTGGCTTCGTGCTTTTTCAGACGTCCCAGTAAGCGTACTGGAAGCCCAACAGGACGTCACATTCAGATTCCAGGGGAAGCCCCACATCCTGAGGTCCATCCGGAATGACATACCAAGAGCTTCTCAATGCGCACGTCCTCGCCGGTGACGGACCCGGAGCACGGGAGTTGCTTGAGGACATGTCGAAGTGTCTCAGCAGTCCTGTAAGTAGCCTTTACCTTTTTGATTTTTGCGGAAACCCATAATAATCTCAAAAGTTTTCCCTTGCAGAATCCCTACGCAACCTCCATATTTTGGACATGCACTTAGTAGCTTGACTACAAAGGTGGGCAAGCCTCAAAGCCCCAATAACCCTAAACCCATAACCCCCAAACCCTGAACTTTCAACCCTCAATCCCACACCATGACCCTGGCTTGGGTATTGCCCCCACTCAGTAACAGTTGATTTTTTTTAGATAGATATATTATGCCCTTAGCAGTACCCCCATTATAGACTGTTACTGTCTGGGGGCGCAGTACCCTAACCCTCACACCTCCATCCTAAACCCTAAACACCTTAACCCTAAACCCTCACACCTCCATCCTGTCAGGTTTGGTCCCTGGGCGGACACCCGTGTCACCCAGCGCTTGATTTCGGAGGCCTCAAGGCTTCCATGATCGCCCCAACGTGAACCCTAAACCCTAGTATTAGTATTAGTATTGGTATTAGATTAAGTAATAATATTAGGGTTTAGGGTTGTCTAGAGTTTACTATAGGGCATTTGTCGGTGCTCTTTATTATATTATAGTATAATGGGCCCCAAATCCTAGCTTCCAAAACCCTTTAGTTAAGGAATAGACCTTAAATCATAATATGAGGGATCCTATTGCAATTTAAGGCATATTCCTAGATTACGGTGTTTGGGGGTCTCAGAGCCACAGGAGGAGCCTTGCTTTTAGAGACTCCAATATCCCGTAATTCAGGAATAGTCCTTGGGATCCTACTATAATTGAAGGAATATTCCTTAATTAAGGGATATTGGAGTCTCTGGGCTTCTGTAAGTTCATGAAACCCTACGTAATCCTCTGACTCCAAGCCCTAGGGTCTAAATACAATGGTTTAGGTAGGAGTTGGGGAAGTACCTTAGCACAAATACTTTAGGGAAGAATTTGCAGATTTGGGGAGGTACCTTAAGTTAGTTCTCAATGTTCCCTTTCTGGCCCAAGCGATATTCCATAAAAAGAATTCAGCGGTTTTGGAGACTTTGGGTCTATGGAGGCCTGACGTTTATCCTCAGTACCCTTAGGAACAACTTTTAAACAAGTTTTTTCATGTAAAACTCAAGAGAATACTTGGAATCGTATTTTTTATGGTTCTAGGAGGGGGATAGAGTTAAATTATTTCAAATTGCAGCAGTTTGTGAAATTGGAGGCCCGGAGCGATCCTTCCCCATAAAGCCCCCAAACTCCAAACCAGCAAAACCCTCACCAGGAGGATGCCAGCAATTTCAGACATCTACCCGTAGAGCCCGACACCTCCCACCCACGAGGTTTCTAGAAGCCGGTCGCGCTAAGCTGTAGAACCTTCATGGAACGGCCGAGAACAGGAGGGTGGAGGTGGTTTAGGGTTGGTAAACAGCACAGATCGAGACGAGTACTAAATGAAAACAAAAGCTGAGAACAGAAGGGTGTAGGGGTTTGGCGGACTCCTGCCTTGCAGGCCAGACCCAGTTTCGAAGTGGCTTTGTGCTCTTGTTTAAGTAGTTACGCAAGGTCAAGGGCGTAAGGTTTAGGGTATCGGGTTTGAGGATTTAAAGTCTCGGGTTTCGGGATATAATATAGGGTTCGGTGTTGAGGTCTCAAGGTTTAGGGTTTCAGGTTTAGGACTTAAGGTTGAGGGTTTAAGGCAGGTTTAGGGTTTTAGCGTCTAGGGCTATAGTAGAAGCCAGAAGGTTGGAATGTCATAATCCTCATGCTCCTAAGGTAGAGCATAAGGGATCCTGGCACAAATCATCCTAAACCAATCTCTATCAACAAGTAGGGGAAGGCGGCTGTAGTCGTCGTACTCCTTCGAAGAGCCTTGGCTCCGAAATGCTACGCCCAGCCGCCCGAGCGCCCCATCTTTGTGGAACATGCCAAAAATGATTGCCATTGCTATTTCTGAGGCTTCCTACTATAAGTATACTGTAGTCTACACAAAACCACAATTGTAGCATTGAGGCTCCGGTATTGTGGGTACCTGTGGGAAAAAAGGGGCGCCCGAACACTAGGTTCTTATATGAGAGGGACGGTGGTCTCTCTGCGGAAGACAGCTCAGAAGCGGCTGCTGAGGCTTCGGTCGCGAGAAAATCAAACATGCCGCGACAGTTCTTTGAAGATATTCTGGCATCTCTGTCAAGAGCAAGCATAGAGGCAACGAAGTCAGACAGGTATGCTGCGATCATCAGTGTCGTCAACACCATACTGAGGGCCAACATTCGTCGGCATCATGGTTCGTAGCGCGACAATATAGGGGTCTTGATAATTACCTATACTACTTTGGGGGGTCAGAAAAACAATCACGGTATAGTGGGCCCCAAAACTCCAGTCTAATTATTAAGGCCCCTGTCGTACATGTGTATTAGCTGTCCCCCTTCATTGCTTCGTCCTGCCTTAGGCTACAGCTACCCAAGGCTATCATACTGCAGTAAGAGGACTCCTCGAGAAGGAACCCGCTATGTAAGGGTTTGTGTTTTTTGGATTGAGGGAGATAGGGAGTTTGGGTTTAGGGGTTTAGGCGGTTGAGGGATTTAGGGGTTTTGGGATAAGTTTCAGCTCTCTGTTTCAAGTTTGGGACCTCGAAGAGTACGAAGAGACAGGCGAGCAGCCAAGCTGCCGCGATGAGTCTCGATGCCTGGCTGGCCATCGAGTGACTCAGCTGCTTTTCGGAGCTTTCTGATTGCATTCGGGACACCTATACATGGGTTGTTGTCAATATTATGGTCTCTTTTTGGGTCCTTATTCTAGTACGGCACTTAATATCTATGGGGTACCCAAAAAGGGACCATAATTTTGACAACCACCCACATGTTACTTGATGTTACTAGCCGTATCCTTCATGGAAAGAATAGTCCAAGACAGGACCCTATTGTACTACATACGGTCTATGCTACCATCATGCTACATTGCGAACCTCAATGACAAACCCGAAGCCCGCAATAAACTAATCGGATCCTGAGTACCTATACAGGGATACTTACATAAGCCACAGTCGTGTAATTCCTGATATGGAGACCTTACGCTGAAGTTTTTGTTGATTTGATAAGTGGGGGGGGCGGCCAGATCGCCAAGGCCACGGAGATAGCATAAGAGTTCTCATTCAAATTGTCCGCGTGTTTAAAATCCCACCGGCTCATCATTGTAAATAGACTTGGCGTCCCGGACCCGACGGCAACAGAGGTAGAGAAAAATGTTTGTTTAGATGTCCACATGTTTAACAATCACCACCGTAATTTGTATTGCATATGTGGGAGTTTCCGAAAATAGGGGAGCCTGATATAGCACCCTGAATAGTAGGTTATAAGGCACCCCTAAGTTTCGGAAAATCCCATGTGGGTGCTTGGGACCCGCTGAGATTCTGAAGCCAAGGCCCCATGCGGCCGCCTGAATATAGCCTCACGTCTCCTTCGTGGTTTTTGTTGCCCTACTCTAGAGGCCTTAATAATTACCTATGTTATTTTGGGGGTTCCTTCTTATAAGTATAGTATAATGGGCCCCAAAACCCTATTCTAATTATTAAGGCCCCTGTTGCCCTACTTCCTTGAAGTTAAGTTGTTCGAGCTTGTTTTTAGTGGCTGAGTAGGTAACCTTTAACCTTTTGGGGTTTGTATAATCCTACCACGATTGGGTTGGTTAGTTAGGATACTCAGCCCCTAAGTGTATATCTCGTCTTGAAAGCAAGATCCAGCTTTTTGAGGGCCATGCTATCGGAGCAGAGAGTTGCGATCTCTGTGGTGTGTGTGTGTGTGGGCGTGTGTTTACGTGCAGTGGTCGGCTGGTAATCCCGGACGTGCAAGTCCAAATGAATAAAGGGACCTTCATAGTGAGAAAAGTTCTTGTCGGCAGTACAGTGGACTGACATATTTGCGAATTGAAAAGAAGTGTGCAGAAATGGACGTGACATGCAGACATTCAAACCTTAAGAAGCCACACACACCTTAAGCTGTAGCCCTGCAACCTTCCAAACTGAAGGACCTACAGACCTTACATTGAACCTTCAAAGCAGAAGAAGCCACAAACCCTAAACTGTGTACTTGTCGGCATGTTGTGTGCAGAGAAATCCGAGTCTCTCAGGCTCTCCGTTCAGAGTGCTGCTCCAAGAACCCGACACTTCGACCCTGAACCCCCCTAAACCCCTAAACCCTAAACTCAGCCCAAGCCCAAGCCTTGATACCTATGGTGTGATGAGGGCCGTTTTGAGCAGGGACTTGCGTCGGGTTTTGAAAAATGGAGTGTTTTGTGGGGGCTGTCGCGCTACTCACTGTCAGAAACCCTTAGGAATCCTGCTGCATACCCTAAATATTTGGTGCCGTATTATATACTGGACCCAAAAAGGGACCATAATTCTGACAACCACCGGCTTCGGGAAACGTTTTCAGGATTTTGTGGCACAGGGTGTAGGGTTAAGGGCCCCAAACCAGAAACCCGGTGAGCCTTAACCCCAGACCCTAGCCCCATTCTCTAAAACAAAAGAGACTCGACCTTGCATGGCAATGGCTCTGCGACCCGAAACTGGAGAACCCTAAAACCTAAAACGCTGTAGCCCTAAACCCAAATCTAAAACCTCAAATCCCAAACCATGAGGTACAGCAACCTGGGGGCGAAGCTGATGGCTTGCATTGGGCAGCCTTTCCGCATGTCATACCTCAACGCCCAAAAGGCCCTTACAAGGTAGGGTATGACTGTTCTTTGTTGGGTAGGTTCAACGGCTCCGGAATTAAATCAACTGGGGCAACGGGACTCTGGATGCCTCGAGAATTTAACGTATACTCCTAAAGAGCAGTGGGCTCTCTGGGAGTTCAGAAGACATAGCGCTATCTAAATGGCAGTTGTCCCCAAACTTTATCTTCTTCACGAGCCATCAGACAAAATTGAACGATACAGACCAGATTAGCTTGGCACAGCGCACACACCTAGACGACTATGAGCCCAAGACCGCTTGCGCTCAAGTCCAGAAGCGTCAAGCCTTCAATAGACTAGACTAAGACAGAAGCCTCAAGAATCAAGA